TGTGGATGCCTTAAGTTTTTCTGAGCTGATATTTGGGTAGGAGTTTCACTGACAAATTCACCAAGTCTGGGAGATCAAGAAAACAGTATAAAGATAACTATGTCCAAGCAGCTAAATTTGGTCAGAGCAAGGGCATTCTTTTCCCTCCCACCCTTGGATTTTCCTAGTGTCATGGAATATTTTATTTTGAACATCTAAAAATACCTTCCAAAACCAAAGTACTGTATTGGTAAGATTACTGAAATTTTCAACTCATTTTCCAATCTGTCACCAGTTGGGAAATGGTACTCTTAAGTGACAGAAATGGAAATCCTTGCCTGTCACAAAATTAAGTTTAAAAAGCATCACTAACACTACAGTTACAGCTGACAAGTCACCTACAGTGCAGAGATACAAGACTTTAAAGCTGGGTGTGGAGGTGCACACCTCCCAGCATCCTGGGAGGGTAGGGGTGGATTAAAAATTTGAGCCCAACTTTAGCTGGGAAGACCCTGGGTTCCAATCTCCAGTATCAGCAAAAACCAAAACAATTAAGACTTTAAAAGTATAAATACTTCTAACAAAAATACTGATTTAATGAATAAAAACCTTCAAAATAAAAGAGACTACATCCAAGAATGTAAGCTTAAATATCAAGAATACATTTTGTAGCTGGGGATGGTGGCCCATACCTATAATCCTTGTAGTCAGTAGGCTGAAGCAGGAAGACTGGTAAGTTTAAAGCCAGCCTGGGCTACACAGGGAGTTCAAGACTAACCTAAACTACAAGGCAAGACCTTATCTAAAACAAACAAACAAAAAAGGATATATTTTGGGCTAGGGATTTAGCTCAGTGGTTCTGCCGCCTGCCTTGCAAGCACAAGGACCCGAGTTCACCGGCCCGGCAAGCACAAGGACCCGAGTTCACCGGCCCGGCAAGCACAAGGACCCGAGTTCGATACACGGTACCAAAAACAAAACAACAACAAAAAAGGGATATATTTTGTAGCTGGGTATGGTGGTACACACCTGTAGTCCCATCTTTTTGGAAAGCTGAGGCAGAAGGACTGAGAGTCTCAGGGTCAGCTTAGGCAACCTGGCTAGATCCTAATTTAAAATGTGAAACTAGATAGATAGATAGATAGGCTGGGGATGCAACTCAGTGCTTAAATGCTTATCTAACATCCACAAGGCCCTGGGTTCAACCTGGATCCAAAGGCAAGCCAAGTTACTGAGTTTGAGTGTTAATATTGGTTAATACATTTAAAATGGAGGATAGATTCATTCTTTTGATAGCAAATACAAAATAAAATATATTGGGCGAAAACTTTAGGAAAGTAATCTTCCATATGTTACAAGCTATTTGCTAAGTTATGCTAAAAACAGAGCAGGATGATAGCTGAGTTTTAAAAAAATAGACTGGGTCTGGGCTCCCCAACATTTTGGCCATACAACTTGAACACTTAACCTCTCAGGTCCCCATTTCCTCAACTGAAAAAAAATGAACTGTGAGATTCAGAAGTTGCTGAGCTAAAACATCTAGCTTGCTGCCTAGAGTGCAGGAAGCATTAAAAAACCAAGTTTGACAGGAAATTATCAAAATTGGCAAAAATTCAAAACTCACTGTAATATTACTATAAGTATTTGATGAATTTCTATTAAATAACATGATAAATTTACTACTGCGTAAACCTAACGCCATAGTGGGAGGTTTCCCCTTTCTAGATCTTTAACTCTTTACTCAACAGTTTTATCTACTTTATAGGGTAGGACACATATTGCTAACAGGTTCTCTACCTTGGTTTTTTTTGTTGTTTTGAGACAGGGTCTCACTATGTAGTTCAGGGTGGCCTTGAACTCATAGGTGAGCCTCCCGCCTCAGCCTTCCCAATGTTGGGATTACAGGGGTGGGCCATGACACGTAGCATTCCATCTTGGTTTTATCTTAAAATTTTTCTACAACTCTGTCCCTAAGGGTGAGAGTTAAAGCATGCGGCCTCCAGTTACAACATTCAAAAGCATATTAAACAAAACATTCCTTACAAAAAGATTAGACTAAATCAGCTTTTAAAAGATCACACTTGTAAATTTTAGTTATATTCCCCAAGAAAAAGTCTTTCATTTTTTGTATTAGTCATAACCACAACTGAAATTAGCTATTATTTACTATAAAGATTTCCTGTATTTACAAAAAGTATCACTGAGGGCCCGGGATTTAGCTCAGTGGTTCCGCCGAGACTGCCTTGCAACCGCAAGGTCCTAAATTTGATCCCCGGTACCCCCCCCAGAAAAATTATCATTGAGTATCAACTATCTTCTCACAATCATAAAATTATTACTCCTTTAATTATAGCTTTAAGCATTTAAAAGTCATGAAAAGCCTACATCTTTAAAATTTTTCAATGAATTAATGTTGAGTTTATTACTGCCTAAGAAACCTATGTACTAATTGTCTTATAATTTAGATCAATAAAGAGGTACATAATGGTTTCAGGAATACTCAGATTAACTGGGGTTGGTGGTGCATGCTTGTAATGATAGCACTGGGTAGGCTGAGGGAGAAGGATTCCAAGTTTGAGGACAGCCTAAGTTACACAGCAAGTTCAAAGCTAGCCTGGACTAAATTGTGCAACTCTGTTTCAAAAGAACACAAAAACTTCAGATAACGAAACTCATTAACATAAATCATTTGTAGTCTAGCCATTTTCATTTGTTTTTTGTTTTTGGTGCTGGGATCAACTCAGGACCTTGCGCTTGGGAGGCAGGTGTGGTGCCAGTGAGCTAAATCCCCGGCCCTAGCCATTTTCATTTGTATTGTGGCATGGAACAGATCATGATAAAAGAATAGCTTTGAGTTTATAACCATTTTGATCATGAACAGTATACGAGAAGACCCTTCATTCTTTTTTACTGTCTCAGCTCATACTTAAGAAGGCTTTTGTTGCCAGATACATAAAAACCATGATAAACAGATATGCTTAAGAAAGCAATAAATTTTTATTTTAGTATGCCACTAAAGATGAACTGTAAATTAAAAAACAATTATAAAAATAGGAAATTGCGATGAAATTTTAAAGCACACACTGACAGAAAAATCTGCCCAACATTTATTCAACAATCCTCTTCTGCCAAATGTCTACTCAGTAATTTTAGTGACATTCTGGACTTTACAGTTGTACTCAATATTAAACCACCATAAACTAATCCTATTGAGCTCTCTACATTAGGGCAATGGGAAAACACTCTGTTAAAGGAGCCCCAAATAACACCTACTACAATACTTGCCATGATTATTATACTGTATGAAAATCCCAAGGCAACCAACTTTTTGACTGTCTACACTCTTCATCTCCAACCTAACATTGCAGCTCCGAATTTAAACCTCCTCAAAACATGTTCTAGCTTGATGTTTGGTAAGTATTTTCCTCATAAGCATAAAAAGGCTACACTGAAAATTCTTAGGGAAGATTTCCACCCCCCGCTCTCAGCTGGCGAGTTTCCTGATCTTTTGTATCATCGGGTTACAATTTCATCTTTCAAATGGAGATGAACAAAACCCCCGAAATGTACACTGAGCTTCGAGTGATCCCAGGTCAGCCTGATTCTCTGCCAGAAAAGGCCAGGTAACACTTAGTCTTCTGCTTGTGTAAGTTTCTTTCTCTTATCCCCTCAATGAATCTTTTTGTTCATTTCCACACGAGTGTACTCTACCCCAGCGGTAGTTAACAATACTTCTCTTCCCAAAGGAACCCCTTCCCCACTTGAGACTACTCTCTGAAGACACTGCCAGGCGGCCCCTTTCTCACTTCTAGGACTGTAAACCTCCCGCGCCGCTGAGGGAAAGTTCCTAACAGACAGACAGACCGGAGGGAATTTCTCAAGTCTCTCAGACTTTCATCCCAACCTCGAGGCATGCAGACATCTGAGGGTTCCCAGAAACAACGAGCTACGAAAGCACAGAGTAAATAGGAAAGAGGAGGAAGTACCAGAACAATGCCCAAACCCCGCACTACAGGGACAGCCATCGCCTCCACCGGCCCCGGCGCCCAACCCCAGCCCCCTCGTGAAACCGAGGTCTCAAAGGCGGAGAACGGCCCGGACGCCCAGAGTCCCCGCTGGACACGCGAGATGTCCCGGGGTCGGCGGCGGCAGAGGGTTGGGTGGGGAATGGCGGGGCGGGAGGTGGGGGGGGGGGAGGGGACGAGGGCGTCCACGCTAATCCCGCCGCGGGCAAGCGGATGGACGCCGGGGACAGGTGGGCTACCGAGCTGCTGCCCACTCAGGCTCACACCTCAAACCTGCTCTTGGTCACTCCGTTCACGTCCCTCCTCATGGGGCCGGCGGGTGCGGCCCGGACAGGGCGCTGCGGCGTGAGGAGTGCAAAGCGGAGCGGCCCAGGGCAGGCCCGCGAGTTCCGGGACCTGGAGGCAGCGACCGCGGCGATGCAGGAACGAGCCCGCGGCTGTTGCGGGGCGGAAGCGACCTCTCGGCTCCGGCGGGGCCTCCTCCACCACCTCCCGCGGCGCCCGCTGCTGCGACGACCGCTGGTCGCTAGCTCAGCTTCTCTCCTCAGCCTCAACTTCAACCCAAAACAAAAACACTCCCCACCTGCCAGCAACGCCGCTCCTGATTGGACAGTGCCGCTCGGGCGCGACGTGCGGGGGGGCGAGGAGCCGCGGCGGCAGCAGGGCTGCCCCTCCCCCACGCGCAGCGCTGACGGCGCCCGCCCGCGGCCGGAGCCAGGGGCCGCGGCCCGCGCCCCTCTCCCCAGAGGCCACCGCCCCGCAGAAGGCGCGCAGGGAAGCGCCGAGTCCGTGTCTGTGGGGCGGGGCGAGCGCACGTCCTGGCAGACGGCTCGTGAGAGCCAGGCTGAAGTGCGGCCGAAGCGTCTCCGCGCCGCGGCCCACGCGCGCACCGGCCCACGCGGAGCCGCCCCCTCCTCGCCCCGGCTCCCAGCCCTGTCCTTCCTCCCTTACATCCCCGGCTGGCACTCGCTTCCTCCTGACAGCCCAGCTTCTGACCCTGTCACTCACGGTCGCCTTGAACCCGAAGTGCAGCAGGCGGTCCCTGCTTGGAGCCATTTTCCTCCTCTTTCTGGACGTCTCGGGAGTGGGGCAGCGCTGTCGCTGATGTCGCCGCCGCCGTACCGGTGGATTGCATTACGGGGCGCTGCAGGGAGGCCTTGGGGGCCGCCGCGGGGCGGGCGTCTCCTTGTGCATGGCCCAGTGCGCGGAGTGTGGGCTGAGCACCCGGTCGTACTCCGGGGATGGCAGAAGGACCACACCTCGGGCGCGGGGTCAGGGGTGCCGCGCCGGAGCCGGAGCCGGAGCCGGAGCCGGGCACCCTCCCTCCGGCGGGGGAGGGGCGCGCGTCCGCGGGAGGGGGCGGGTTGGGCAGCGGGGGCCCTCGGCTGCCCCTCCCCGGCGCCGTCGGCGCCCAATGGGCAGCAGTGCCTGTCCGCGATCCAATCAGCACACTGGTTGGTGAGAGCCTGAGACTGACGTCACTTTGGCGGGAGAAACAAGCGTGTGAGAGCAGTAGGCGGGGGCGTTGGCCCGGAGGAAAGCGCGACTTTTTGTAGAACCCGATCAGTGTCATCTTTTACCAAGTGTGGCCCCCAGGCCTGGAGTTTATGAACGACTTTACACAAATTAAGGATCGTGAGTAGAATTAGCAAAAGACAATCTAGAATAATATCCCAAACATGAAATACGGTTATGTATTCCAGGAGTCTTGGCAGGAACAGCAGCACTAATTGTATGCTCCCAAAGCAGTGAGGATTCTTCACACCCCTTTTAATTAGTGACTTGGCTTGTTATGAATTCGATTAAGAAACATATTTAGGGAGCAAGTGCTACAGACCTTTAAGAACAGGCTTTTTTTTTTTTTTTGGTACCGGATCGAACTCAGAAACAGGCATATTTTAGGTGGCTTATTACCCAACTATTTGGTGCTGGGGCTTGAACCCACAGTTATCTCTTCTTAAAATTTTTATTAGTGTTGCTTATGATACATGTTAAATACATTTATCCTGGGAATTGGTACATATTGATACTGCATCTTGACCCCTTTTACTTCCCCTTCTCCACCTGTCTTCCTTCTCTAATTCTGAAAACAATAATTTATATCCTAGAGTGCTTCCAAAGCAAGGAACTATGTTCAGAAATCGCATTATCAGGTCCACAAACCCAGGTCTATATGACACTCTCCTCTGGTCACAGATACCTTTAGTGTTTTCATTTCACTTGAACCAGTGGAATAAAACAGCCCTTTAGTTCAGTGACATCTCTTTTCTCCTATCAAGAACTGATGAAATTAGTAACAGCAAAAAGTAGGAAAACTGGTACACAAAGGTAAGTAAAATATAATGAAAACAAAACAAAAACCTCTTTCACTAGTCTTGTCTATCAATTTTACATTCTAGTGGATGCTTGTTATTATAGCGGTACTTATGAAAGATCTTACAGTTTTCTGAAAAGCTGAATGATTATTCAGAGGTTAAAATTTTTATTAAACACAGCTGTATTACTTTTTATCAAAGAAATTTATTTGCATGTAAATATTTTTGTAATGTTTCAGGGAAAAAAATCCCACAGGTTTTGTCCATGTTCAAAAAAAATGAAAAATCCCAAAGTATTTACAGAACGGCCATACACACAGAAAATCAAATGACTTTTTTGTTTTTTTAGAAAAGACCCTCTCCACTGCTCCTGATGTACATTTTGAAATTCAAAATTTATAACTCAGATCTTACAGCTGAGCATATTTCCCAACCTAGCTTCTGAGATTATTAAGTACTTCCTGCCCCTCAAAAACTAACACAAGGATAGAAGTAAATGGGCAGGAGGCAGGGATGAAAATGAAGAAAATGAGACTGCCCAGGGACTATGAGTAATGTTTCCTATACTGACATCTGCATTAAGTGACTCACTGTGGATACTGTATGACTCATCAGCTCCCTGGAAGGGTTTCTTGTGAAAATTCATGATATTGCTGCACTAGATTTTCAGACCTAGGCCTGAGGAAGGAAAACTCTTTTGAAAGAGTCACCAACCTCAAACCTAGTTTTGGCAATTATATCCTACTTTAGTTTCCCCCGACAATACTTGTTTTAAGACACACTGAATTTGAATCTGAAATCTTCATGTACATCAGAGCAGATTTTGACCAAGAACCCCTAACACGAAGCCAAAAGACAAGAGGAATCAGGTCAAACTAAAAATACATAAGACACCAGCAGCAGAAGATAGGTAGAAGTTGACTTCATGTCTTTGCCGTCTTTTGAAACAGGAGAATGAGTACACCTAGAAGGAGGGAGGTGTCCCAGGCTTGGTTATTCTGCCTCTTCTCCTCCACCCTGTGAAGAAATGCAGTGCTCCCTGGTTCTCAGGCAGGGTGAAGCAGTTTAGCCCCGGCTCCCTGTTAAGCAAGTTCAGATGCTGGGTCAGTGTATGGGGTGTGCCCATCGACAATTCAGGGGCTTATCCTTCATCCAGATCCTAACTCGGGATTCTTTGATCTGGGATGAAGACAGAAAGAGAGAAAAAGCTTCCCAGTTTACTCATTTTGGTATTTGTTGGCTCTGCTTGGGGGAGCTGAGCCCCTGATACTATGCAGTACATTCCCCCACACGATTTCCCCACCCAGAACAAACTTTAAAACCATGTAACTTTAAAATTTCTTACACAAACCAATGGGATAGGACTCAGAACTAGTTCACAAACTTGTGAGAAATCCAACCTGTTTGTATGTCTGAGAGGCTGCTACTGAATCAGCACCACAAGATAAAGCACTCTGGTGTCACCTTGCCCACGTCCTCCTTAGTGTCACTCAAGACATTTGACTCTGATACGGTAATTGATAACTTTTCTTATTCCACTTTGGAATATTTCGCTTTCTACTTCTTATTACTTTGGGACACAAAAGTGGCAGAGTTGTTGAGAGCTGATGACCAGAAAAGGGAGAACACTAGAGGAAATGAGAGACAGGAAAGAAAGCCAAAGTGGATATTCCAGCCCTATGCTAACTCCAACCTGCAGAAAGAGCTGAATATAGAAATTTTCTTCCGTATCTGATGAAGTCACTCCACTTATGACACACACACACAAATCACCTGGTGGTGTTGTTTTGTTTTGTTTTTTATAATCCAGAAGAGTTGTGCTGGGGACTCTGCCCCGCTCTGCTGATAAGATCCTGAATGGAATCATCAGGAATGGCACAGTGCAGGTGTCAAAATCAAAGTAAGGCCGCAGAATTTTGAGAGGACCCTCCAAATACTGAGAACTTCTGTTGCACTCAAAACGGTCTCCTGGATTTCTAGATTTGTGACAAAGGCTTCTTATTGATGTCTTGCAGAATCCAGACTCAGACCTGTTTCTCCAAAAAGGTCCAATTGTGTTGCTACATAGTAGCAAGGGTTTATCTTCATGCTCACCTAGCATTCCAGGCCCCCATTACTTCAAGTGAGCGTGAAATTCTTTTAAGTGAACTATGGCTGCAAATTTTTTTACTATTTTATCCCAGGGAGCATACAGTGGAGTGATTAAAGTCTGAACTTCTCCTCCTTTAGATGAAGAGAAACAAAGAGCTCAGCTCTTAGGAATGGCATTGGTTCTCCTGCAAACTGGGATGTGGACTTTTGGCACATTGTGGAAATAGGAGAACTGTTAATTCTGTAATGGTTTTCATGCCACTGGGTCAGGAAGGCTGTCCCCTATTACACCTTACTGCATCTGAAAACATGTTTACATCCCAAATAGCCACCCTAGCCTTTCTTTTTTTGAAAAGGAAAAAGTATAAATCATTACCTCCACAGGGAAGTAACTCCTAGTATTCCTATGATGTCTGAACCCTATGAAAAACTTCCTAAAATAAAATATCATTTTGGTTTTTCTATTTGACTCCAAAGGTGGGCTCTGACTAACTGCTTGGGCTTGATGCTACATATCAGCACAAGCTACAAGGTCCCTACCACCAAATAAGCCCTGCTCTTCCGCTTCCCATCATTTTGAACCCTAAACCTCATAGATTTATTTAGAAAGAAATGTATAAAAACAAACATAAGGGTTAAAATATTACAAATAAATAGCTAAAATCTTCCCTCCCCCAGTCACTCCTAAGAAACAAAAACCAAACATTGCTTAAGTGTCCAAAACGACCCAAGTCCTTCATTTGCCCATACCTCAAGTGGACAATTAACCCAAACAGAGGTGAACAACCTTCATGCAAATGCATCAAGGAATGTATTGCTTTTTCATTTGCTGCCCAGCCCTTCAAATGCATGCACTAAAATGAGTTTAAAACATGGCCTAAAAATGGAAAAAGGGAGGAAAAATATATATGAATATTTCTCACAAAACTGTTTTCCCACCCTTCCCTCTGCTTACCTCCCCCCACCCCCCTCCCTTTCTTAAGCAAGTATTTTTTTAACATTTTCTTTCTGACAAAGGAATAAGGAATTCTTGATAGCCAGAATCTAACCCTATGGTTGTGGTCTCTTCAGTAGGGTCTGGATATGTTTCTAAACTCACCCAGCTTGTCAAACCCATGCCTTTTTGGACTCTTACACATAAATCAAACCTGTCTGACTCACGCCTTGTTGGTTTACATATGAACTTATCAAGTTTCTTTGCTGGCCAAGTTTCTCTAGAAAACAAGGTTCCTAATTGCCAATCAGGGCCACATCCATAAGATCGTCATCTTCCTCCCCAATCATGAAGTCAGGGCTAAGCCTTGAGGGCCTGTCTACAGATAGGATTGCGTTACTTGTCACAGACAAGGACTGGTCTGAAGAGATGGGTGATTTAGACCAACTCTCTGGCTTGATGCTGTGAGACTTTTTTTTGTCTCTGTCTTTGTCCCGGTCTCTGTCCCTGTCTTTGACTTTCTTCTTTTCCTTTTTGTGCTTCTTGTGTTTCTCTGTGCTGTATTCTGGAAGTGGTCGGATGCCATCATCTGAACTGGGACTGTTCTGATAGGACTTCTCCGCTATGGAGGAACCTGACTCACTTTCACTGTCCAGATTCTGGGGGGTATAGGCTGGTGACTTGCTATGGCTAGGAGAGCCACGTTCGTGCTTTGGAGTGGAACCACTTATCAGTGGAGAGCCATAGTTTTTGGAGGAGGTCATCTGTGGCCGGAGCCCTTCCCCACTACTTTCCCCAGGTTTCTGCAAAGTCACTTTGGCTTTAATGCTAGGGGAGCCTCCATCATGCTTGCTGATGATAATTTTTGCCACACCTGTGCTCCCCACATTTTTTGACTCTGAGGTCTTCTTAGAAGAGTCCACTGAGCCCCCAGAAGTAGACACCTTTGATTTGTCTTTATCACTTTTCTCACGCTTGCCCTGGAACTCTCCTCCTGACATGTT